TCCACTCATTCTATAAAATTAATTTCTTTTTCATATTATTTAACAAAATGTACTGTATTTTCCCTATTGCCTTAAGAATAACTTTTATCTGAAAATTTGTACAGTCGTTATTTAAGAATACGCTAACTTAAACCAATGTGGGCATGATGAAGGATAATGAAGAGGAACGACTAAGCATATACGTGTCTTGCGTTATTCTCTTTATAGGTATGAAGTCCTTAGTACATTATTATTATTATTATTATTATTATGCACCATTTTTTTTACAATCTATTGTTTTCGTGTTAAATATATCGTATATTGGCTGAGTCAATAAAAAATAGTTTTGTGAGCTCTTGTATGATTATGGGTGTAGTGTACCCCTCTGCCCATAATAATTTTATAACATAATAATAGACCTGGTATATAATGCAGGACTGAAACTTGCATTGGGAGCTTCCTGGTTAAGACTGTCAACTTTGGCTGAGGCTAGTAAGCCCCCTCTTGATCCTATCAGTCATTTCTGAATGCAATAAACTACTTAAGTAATTTTCAATCATTAAAAGGTCTATACCCAATGACCAATTTTTATTGGTACAAGAACTAGAAAATTCCTAAGAAAATCTGTCTTCAGAAAGTTAATTTGTTATTTAAATCGTAATCGCTTATTGTTTACCCTCTACAACATTACTAAAAGAAGCCACCAGGACAATTATGCCTTGGTTACTTACCGACTCCTGTCTCCTAACATGAAATTAGATCTAAGAAGTTCCCAAAAAAACATAAACACTCACTATTGTTTACAGAAATGAGTTAATTACATACTCAGTGAGGAACAGAATCTTTGCTGCATTTTCCAGTCAAGTTCTTATGATGTCAAGTACTTGGGTACATCCTTTGTGTTCAATTATCGTCCCTTTGTTTTACATTTCCAAGGCAATAAACATTGCTAGTTGCTACTAACTCTACCAATTCTCTCTCTCTCTCTCCCTCTCTCTATTAGCATACAGGGTGTCCCAGTTCCTTCTGACGAAACTCAGGAAATCGATTCTACTCTTCGTTTGTAGCAAAAAATGCCCAGGAGAAAATTTTCGGAAAGTTCTCTATTTTGAAGATATTTGTCAATATTGGTTTTTTTCAACTTTTCACTACCTTACCACATAAAAACGCTTACAACTTCCAAAATGTTGAGACTACAACAAATCTAATTACACCATTTGAAAGAACGCTAAATTTGCTGTAATATACTTCTATTTGTAATAATCTGAATGATATAAAATGTAAGCCAATATCAGTTGGAACATGTCAAAATTACAAAATTTAAAATTTTGGTCATGATTGCACGTTCTACTGAAGTTACAAAAAAATACCTATAACTTGTCAAATTTCACAAAAACTTTTTCATGTAATATGTTTTACATTGATATATCCAGGTTTTTAAATAACATTCTAGAAGAGTTGAAAAATAACAATTGAATGTTCGAAAACGTGAGCTAAGGTAAATTACAAGGGGGGGGGGGTAGAAATAAATCAATTAGAACTCGCTTTGTAAAATAATATTAATATTAATTAATATTATTATCTTTCAGTAACACACCCTACTTGATACATTCTGTGATGATTATTGTTTAAACTTCGATCTCATCCAGCATTTTTCATTCAACCGGTCAAACAAGTGTCATTTTTATTTTACAAAGCGAGTTCTAATTGATTTATTTCTACCTCCCATCTTGAAATTTACCTTAGCTCACGTTTTCGAACATTCAATTGTTATTTTTCAACTCTACTAGAACGTTATTTAAAAACCTGGATATATCAACGTAAAGCATATTACATGAAAAAGTTTTTGTGAAATTTGACAAGTTGTAGGTATTTTTTTGTAACTTCAGTAGAATGTGCAATCATGACCAAAATTTTAAATTTTGTAATTTTGACATGTTCCAACTGATATTGGCTAACATTTTATATCATTCAGATTATTACAAATAGAAGTATCTTACAGCAAATTTAGCGTTCTTTCAAATGGTGTAATTAGATTTGTTGTAGTATCAACATTTTGGAAGTTGTAAGCGTTTTTATGTGGTAAGGTAGTGAAAAGTTGAAAAAAACCTAAATTGACGAATATCATCAAAATAGAGAACTTTCCGAAAATTTTCTCCTGGCGTTTTTTGCTCCAAATGAAGAGTAGAATCGATTCCCTGAGTTTCGTCAGAAGGAACTGGGACACCCTGTATAAACAGGTTTAGAAGCAATAAAACAAATTCTTCTAGTCACCCCGACAAGACATTTATATTCACTTAACAGACTGAAAACCAGAGGTCATGGATTAATTTCCATAATGACCCCTCACATCATGGCATAAATGAAAATGAAAAAGACTTAATGACATAATAAATGAGTTGATAAATTAGAGCTAAAAACCTTTTAATTCAGGTGTAGATCAGTTGTATTTCTTTTTTATTGTCCACAATAACACTAGGGGGTGGACAGTTGCTTAGCACATTAGCTAACACAACAGTAATCTGCACTGACAAGTTATTCCTCAAGGTGAGAATGAAAAGTCTCATACAGAGTTAATTTGACAAAAATTAAAGCACTGGATCAAACACTTAAATTCTTATAGATGGCAAAATCAAAATTCTCATTCCACTTTAAACAGTTAGCCTACACATCTGATACACCCAATTTGGGCCCACACTAGATGTAAGATTAGGCTCTGCCTCTTAATCTCAAGTACATTTTTTTAACGGCCTTATTGAACTTTTCATATTAGCCAAGGAATGTTTTAATATCTCATATGATGTGTATTCTTTTTTTTTGGGGGGGGGAAGGTTACGTGAAAAAAATGGCCAGGGGTGATGGTAGGAATCAAACCATGACTGCCTGCATCTGGAGCAGAGAGTCTATCACATTGACCACTTGACTACCACAGTCCCCAAATGCCAAAAGTGATTATTAAGAATAAATGCATGGTACATCCATATTTGGATGAGTGACTTGTATGTCATTTAAGAATTCTACTGAAAAATCTATGAAACCACCCAAATAAAACAACAAGGCGTCAAAAACTCAAAAGAAACATTATCAATTGTACATAAAGTTGTATGAATTTTATTGGATCATTTGAAAGATTTTGTCATTATATTAACTGCAACATATTTATCTTAATGTATCCACATTAAATGAGATCAAAAATCCACGAGTTTTAATAAAAATTATTTATTAAATCCTAAAATTTAACTTAGACTTTTTTATCCAGTAGCAAAACCAGGTAATAAATTCTTGGTTAAATTTATTATATCGCTAAATACTTTTCCGGTGTTTTGGTGAATTTTCTTTTAAACCATCATAATTAAATATTTTTGTTAACACTGAATGAATGAATTTCTGATCTTGTTTAATTTGCTTTACATTAAAATAAGTAGGTATGCAAGGGGACAGGAATATTTTGAATCGATAGAAGTATCACTTATGTGCTCTATGACTAGAAAAAGAATTGTGATGTATACCTAAAAGTAGAATTGAAGTAATAATTCTCTTTCACCATTGGAAAAAATCTGGGTCTGCGTTTAATTTTGTATGTCCTTCCAGTCTCCCACTGTTTTATACTTTCCTCCATTAACTTTTTCTTTGTTCAAGTTCTAGGAGATTTATTGTATTATAAGTCAATGCATCATTTACAATTAGGTCAGCTTCTTCATTCCCCTGTAATCCTGCGTATGCTTTCACCCGGTGAGGGTTATATTAATCCAATTTTGTTTTCAAATTTTTATTGTCTTGCTTGTTCACTAAGAAAATTGTAGTTATCCCGAATTTGATAGAATTAAGTGTGCCCTGACTGTCTGTCATAAACGCAAGATTTTTAATGTCAAATTTTCCCCATGTCCCTTTAATCCATTCTAGTCCCTTTTTTAAAACAGCTAGTTGAAGAAGAAGAAAAAGAATACATTTATTTTTAACAAAAGTAATGGTTTACTAAATAATTACAATATATTTCAAGCATAGCAAAAGGGCCATCTGCAGGAGTTTGGAATTCCTTTGACTAAACCATAATTTATTTTACAATGGTTATATTAAAGGGAATTTCAATTAACAGTAAAAAGGAAATACATAAGTCAAGATGATAATCTAAACTAAAATTCAAATGCTTTCACTCTTCCATGGTTTCCCACTTAGTAGAGGTATAGAGGAGAGTGGGAATGTGGTGAATTTCAGAAAAACAATTGAGTGTTACACATTGCAACATTTGTCATACCGTCCTTATGTGTATATGAGTTCATACATAACTTTGAAGAAAATATACAGAAAGTGTCTGATTGGTATGTAGATAGAAGGAAATGGTTCAAAGCCTGAAATGCGAGGTGTTTCCTATTACCCACGGGTCTTGTTATCTGAGGTGATGCTTGGTATGTATCCCCGTGGATTACAAGTCTACTGTATATTGCATACTGGTTCTGTAATGAATCCACCTTGTTTAACCGTTCTTTTTCTATTATTTCGCCTAGATTCATCAGCGCATATCTTTTCAGAATAAGAAAGAAATATTTCAATTGGTTTACTTTCAGTCATGGGCATTGTATTAGCTATAATACAAGCCGCATGGTAGGATATAGTCATGTAGCCTTTGATCATCCTTATTGTTAATAGATTTTGGAAAACCCTTATATTAGATTTGGTTTCCAATGCCTTGGCTCTTACTGGTGAGCCGTAGGTGGTTAATACAATTGCGCCATCACATATAACTCTAATAAGTGTTTAGGGTTCCCATCCAATTTTTGACAACAGAGCATTTACTAACTTTAATGCTGTTTCACTTGATTTTCTAATATAAAGTTTCCAATCGATTTTACAAGTGAACCTGACGCCCAAGTATTCTAAATCCTAATCATCCCTATTTTGGCTTTAAAAACCAACACAATATTTTTTTAAATTACACGTTATGAAAAATAATGTTTATTTTAAAAAAATAGAATAATAAATAGGCTTACACGTGCATGAAACCGAGGTGCATGAAGCTAAAAAAAAAGAAAGGAAAAGAACTGTGCACCGGACTTCGCGCCTCGCGAGAAATAGCGTCTACCAATGCCTTTATTATATCAGCTGAGTCAATTTAGTTTTCTCATTGTAATTTTTCATTTGGCAAAGTTTAAGATCGTGCGATAATTAAAAACCAATCATAACATGCCAAACTAGATTAAATTAGACAATTTCATAGGGCCGAAGTATTATTTAAAAGGATATCGAATATTCACAACAAGAAGGGCTCGGTGGAGACTTGATACATTCCAGTTCAGAAGGACATTTTCGCGTGTTCTCTTGTGTTTAGCTCGTACTCAACCAAAAGTCGTAAGTTAATCCAGTTTCATCAATTCAATCATTTGTTCATGACACGCCGAGTTTCTTCACGTCCTCGGGCTTTCGGTAAAATAACGAAAAATTTCATGTCCGCCGAGAATTAGTATCACGTTTCCTTCACGAGGCGAACTCCCGACATCGGTCGGACCTTCCGCGGTATTTTTCCTTTGTCTCGGTCATTTTCAGCCCGAGGATCTTCTCCTGTAATTACATCGCTACAATTATAACGCACTGTTCATTTTGTTTTTAATCTAAGCGTCTCGTTTTATTTATCCCTTTAACGTAAAACGGCATGGATAATTAAAACTAATGCGACTATGTTCAAAAGAAACAACTATAGCCATCTTCCATTTTTACACAAATGAGTACAGATTATTTTTTTTAATTTAGCCAGTTTTGTGTTGTATTGTCTAAGTGTAAAAAAATCAGTTGTAACCCTAATTAGTTAGGGATACCCCCGGATTTTATCTTCTGCAAAATCTTTCCGTTCATCCCGATTCAAAATACTCGTATACAGGCGGTTATTGCTTAAAGATTTGTGAGATGTCCTTGTTTTGTGGTTGTTTTCGATCGTTTTGATCTGTCAGGCGCATTTTGTCTTTTTGCTATCTTCAGTGTTGGTAAGCTATATAAAGCCGGATGTGGCGAGACAACCCACTCCTTTGTAATATTACCTACACAAATTGACCACATTGCCTACTAAAAGATAATATTAAAAACAAAACTTTGAAGATGGCGAGAAGCGAAATATGTGACGCATCAAAACAATGTTAGGCAGACAGCAAATGGTTTGAAAACTTAACAAGCTACAGATTCAGCACACATCAAGAAAAAATTACTATGTATTTAAAAAATTAGTTTAAACATTTTAGCTTTTCTCCGATTTATACAACAAAAATAGTTTTCTCCACAATGTAATAAGATTATATTGGTAGTTAGGTATTACATTGCTGTTTTGGACTGTCTGACATATATCGGCTTTTCGCTATCTTCACTGTTGATCAGGGATAGCTGGATGCAGTAAGACAACCCACGCCTAATATTACCACAGGCATGTGTAGATAATTCATTTACTATATTGTTCTGTAAAGAACTCTCTTTTATCCGTGACTTCGTCTCTGAGGGATTCTGATTTAATATACCTGTCTAGCACGATGCAGAGTGCTAGTATGGCTTTTTAATATAATGTTAAATTTTTTCACCTTGGGGATGTAATTGCAAAAAATCCTTTTCTTAGCAGCTATCCATGTCATTGTAGGAATGTATTGTCGAAATTTCAGGCCTTTAGATCCGGCGCTTTGGTCTGTGTGTTATTTTTCAGTCATGGAACTATTTTATTTACATATATATACCTACATCACACCAGACCGCATCTCACGATTTCTGTACAATTCAAATCTCATCTGTGACATTGGCTTTTTATCTCTAATTTCGTGTTTAAAAATTAACTTCCAATATAATGGCAATATAATATGTAAAAAAACCTTAAAATTGCAGGCCATTGTGTACACATACACTGTAAGGCCTGGTACTCGGTTATTTGGGTTACTTCACATTGTAACCTGTTTGTTTCTGTTCATTTTGGTCTACCTGTCCTCGATGTGCATTTTACTGAATATGGCAACAAGCCAAAACTTGCCTGGTAGATCAAAAACAGCAAGGTAAGACCTACCAAAATGTTCAAAAACTACCAATATTATTTAATACACTTGCAAAATAAGCTAGAAACAAATATTACACCAACATTGGTAACAATGTTTTTAAACATTAAATGATAAATACTTGGGGAAATTATATTACGATATGGATAAAAATTTATTCTTGAATTTCATCTAATGAAGAAAGTCACTCTTCCAACATTTGATTGCAATTTGTTCTTCAGAAATCAATTGAGCAATGTCATCTTTACATTAAAAAGGGAACTTTTTTAATTTCCATATTTAATTCTTTGTGGGTTCTAGTGAGACATCCATCTGGTAATGTGTTCATTACAATTGAGTGCAGTTATTAACTGTATTTAACACATTGACTCTATTTGAGATCACTGTGTTGTTTTCATTAACCAATTTGTGTGTAAAAAAGAACAATTCTGTTACATTCTTAAATTATGTTGAGGTTTTTTAATTTTATTTTTCCTTTATAAATACTTATTTTTAAATTGTACAACATATTAGTCGATAGTATATAGACAGGGTGTCTGAAACATCTATATCATACTTTTGCACATATTAGTATTTATTTGTAAATAAATTATTCTTATTCTGTTAGATCATTGCTACCGGTGGAAATATGCCTGAACAAACAGAAGTTGATCAGAAGCCTGTCGAGGCCAGCTCCAGCACCGACTCGGAGCCTGATGAAGCCCCGGATGCAGAGGCCACTGGAGGGTCCGTCTCACTCATCCCAGACATAAGCAAGGCCAAACAGTCGAGAGGGGAGAAAAAGGCCAGGAAACTCATGTCCAAGCTTGGACTCAAACCAATTGTAGGGGTATCACGAGTTACCATTCGGAAGTCAAAAAATATCCTATTTGTAATAAATAAGCCAGATGTCTTTAAGAATCCTGCCTCCGACACTTATATCATCTTTGGTGAAACGAAGGTAATTTATTTATTTCTTTTTGGAATTCACAATTTTAAGTTTCATATTTGTTTCAGATTGAAGATCTCAGTCAACAGGCACAAGTAGCCGCTGCTGAGAAATTTAAGGCTCCTCCAGAGCTTTCACAATACGCCGATGTTAGCGGTGCTACTACTGTACGCATTTATAAATTTGTACTTTTACTATTTATCGCTTAAATGTTATGTAATAATTTAATTAATTTTTAGAACCAGGTTGTTCCTCCAATACAAGAAGAGAGCGAAGAAGAGGAGCTGGATGCTTCGGGTATCGAGGAAAAAGATATAGAGCTTGTGATGTCTCAAGCTAACGTCAGTAGAAATAAAGCAGTGAAAGCCCTAACTAATAATCAGAATGATATAGTCAATGCCATTATGGTAATTTTCCTTACTTTCACTATTATTTAACTATTAACTAACACAATAAGTTTATTTATCCAATTTTTGTTTTGCAGGAGCTGACAATGTGAACTACGAATCAGTGTTAACATTTTGGCTTGTTATTTTAACCATAATTTTAATTATTTTCACAACCATTATTAAATTTGTTTCTTTCGTCTAAGGATATGTACTGAATTTTTTGTACCTTTCCAATATCCTATTTTTCATTGTTAATTGTATGAGCAACAAAAATTAAGCTAATTACGATCACATCATGCAACTTTAAATAAACCTGTAATATAGTTGATTTTTTTTAATAAATAGGTTTGTTTTTATCACCATTAAATGTTTTAAAACATTTGCAACCTATAAATTATTTTACAATTAATTAAGGTTTTTAGTTGAGATGAAAAAAACTAATGGCACGAGAGGGATTCGAACCCACGACCTTCGGCTACATATGCCGCTGCTCTACCACCTGAGCTATCGTGACCTCGATCCACTCGGACATCAACTCCCCATCTCAACCCCACCTTATGAGTTTTCCCTCCTTTTGCCATTTTTCATTCCTTTTTTTCGTCTCGACTAAAAACCTTAATTAATTGTAAAGTATTAATTGGTCAAGGGGACCACGAAATTAGTGAATTTAAGGACTATAAAATAAATTATTATTGAAGTTTACAAGGTGGTGAATCTTGATCATTTCTAATCACCACAGTCTGTCAGACTTCACTATTTTTTATGTGGGTTTCTGAGTTGCTTAACCAATATATTTTAAATATAAGTGGGTGGTATTCTTGTCTGTCAACTTTGACAAATTACAATTGGGTTTTGTCATTGCAAAACAGCCTATGTTGTCTGTCGGCTTGACAGATTAAATCTTGGTTCTTCCGTTATGCTCATTTTATTTGCCAAATAAAATTCATACACTCATGCAAACCCAACGTTAATGGTGAAATGCATAACAGACCAGAATGATTTCAAGCGTCTAAACTGCACTCCAAAAAAGCTATTTTAAGTTTGTTTAGTGACAAAATCTGTTCAGTCATAATAATTAAATGAGAGGTGTATGTTGTGTTAAAAGTCTTACTTTTAATGTGCAGAAACACCAGTGGTATAAATATAAATTTTAATGCATTGGTGCCCGTATATCAAATGGCGCATCCGATAGGCGATATCTGACAATCTCTCGAGCGTTTATAGTCCTCGGCCGTCACAATTCCCCTCACATGGACTCATCATCTTCCAAATAATCAACCCTATCACTAAAAGATGAACCCATTTCAGGCTGTCACAGAGAAAATAGTAGGAGCTGAAATAACAAGGTTGTATGAAACAAATTAATAAAAAAAAAAAATTATTTTTATTTTCCAAATATTTTTTAAATACAATTCCTTCGCCTGTTACATGTAGAATTAAAACAGTTCAACAAAGATATACGTAAAGAGAAGATGCACAAACAACTATAGTAATTTTTACTTGCACGATTTTTGTGATTTTGAAAAAATAACATTTAGTGAAATGCAATTTATTTTATTTAAACAATATGTTTTAGCATTCAACCATAATCGTCGTACTATATATTGTTTATTTCCCTTTTAGGAGAAGGGGGGTTAAAAATAAAACAATTTCAAAAATAAAAACTAGCCTAATTTTTTCCTTTTTTTTACACAACATACCAAGAGTCACTTGGCCAAAAATATATTTTTTACATTTGTTGTGTTGAATTTCCATTCCACGTATTATTTTCGTCATTGCTGTCACCTTCATCAGCTAGTGTGTGGACATTTCCTCTCCTTCTAATTCCACTTCTAAAAATGCATGAAATCAATTTTAAAATGAAATACAATCAGATTTAGATAGAAGTCATGCATTATTTAAAAACAGGAATGAACAGTTAATGATTTTAAAAACAGATTTTTTCACTAAAAGCTAGAAGCATGATTATAAAAAGAAATTTTAAATAAAAGTTATTTAAGATCAATTAATTTAGAAAATTACACCTAGCATTCTTTACGCTATAAACTTACTTCCGTTTATTTGCAAAAAACAATCTTCTAAACACCCTGAAAACAATTAATCCTAGAAACATGTTAGGAAGCGAACTAATGCAGGATGTTATTTTTCCAAAATCATTGCCAATTAAAATACTTTCGTACTCACCCTGAATTTACAGTCGTAGGAGCTTGGCCCTGGTTTGAGTTTGAACTCCAGCCTGGCGCATTGTCATTACTTGGTGGAGGGCGGCCGAACAAATAAGACTGAATGTACCTAGACAGAGTGAATAAGGGTTTCACCATGTCCCAGAACATATCTATGCATATTTGGGTCCAAGAAGGGCCAGACAAAACCCCTCCTTGGCTTCCAGTCACCTGCAACAATCGTTTATTCAGCAAGTTACAACTATTAACATACGTTCAATCGGATTTACAGGAAGGATGAGTATGACAGCCGAGGGAAGAAGCTGAAGAGCCCTCAGATCAATATTGTTATCCCGGTGAGTGAATTCCCTTCTTGGGAACATAGTCGCCATCTGGTACTCGCTGAATTTTCAAAATAAAAATTATAATACATGTTATACTTTATTTTTATCTTTCTACTCATTAATACACTACATAAATACCTGAATGGTAAAACAATATTGTTGTCTATAAATTGCCGAACCTGACCTAAAGTAGTTTCAGCTGGAAAAGTGTGAGTTTTAGCCTCACCTGTAGGTAGTTTGAACTGGAGTCGCGCAATATTCCTGGATAAACATTAACATTAATGTATAAAGTATAAAATCACTACGTACAACTTACACATTGCTTGGTGGGGGGGATGTGGAAGGAGCAGTCGAGGCAGATGCTACAGCAGGGTCCGGCACGACTTGAGAAGACATGGCCATCCTTTGTGCTCTTGCAACTCTAAAAAATGATTTTATTACCATTTTATTATGTATGTACCAATAAAAAAACAAACCTGTCCTCTGCTATCTGATCGAGTATTTTTTTCTTAGCCTCTGCTTCTTCCCTCCTTTCCTTCTTCCTCTCTTCCATAAACTGCTTAAGCTCCATTTCCTGCTTAAGTTGATTTGCTTTCTGAAGCTCTTGGCCTATCCTTCTTCTTTCTAGTTCTGCTTCTTTCTCTTTCTAATGAATAAATGCTTGGTGGTAGACAATTACTTTGGAAATTTTATGATAAATCAATAATAAAACATTACTTCAAGTTCTTCCTGCCTCTTCTGCTCATTCTTCCTGGCTAACAACAGCTTTGCTCTTTCTACCTTTTGATCCATGGACATACCTAAAAGAAATATAAAAGTTCTAGTTATAAAAGAAAGATGATAAATGATAAGCAAATTAATAAGCTAAGCATGATATCATTTAAAAATAACTAATCATTCTATGAAACAAATACATCTTATGAATATAACAATGTAACATTTTTTACAAAACTGTCAACATCGGCAGAAAATAGTTCTATTATCATGTCAGCTATGTAAACCCTACTATATAATTATTTTTATGAAACTTTGCAACAAACAGCAGGTTGAAGTTTAAAATCCCCTCTTAAGATTCAAATGCAAACATTACCAATGCCCTTTTATTAAAGTTTTTAAAAGAAATTTAAAATTCAAATGAGCCGTTCTTTCAGTGTTTTATTTTCAAAGGTTTTGAATATCTAGTGTAATCACAGTTATTCTTCAGTGCTTGGTTATATTTTCATTTGATAATATTCAACAGAGTGGTCAACCGTCACATAAATTTGTCTCGTGATCTAAAAAGAAAACAAAAGATAATTCAACTCCCCTCTTCCTAATAATAAAGAACTTTCTATTATAATTAATTGAACAAAATTCTTCTTTGGTAAAAATAAATGTAATTGGACCAGAACACAACAATCATCATTGTCTCCTTCCTGCTAGAAAAACGCTTTAAAAAATTAGATATGATTACTGCTCGGAGTTTCTTAACGCATTGAGTCTATTAATTGTTTATTTTTAAATCTTACAATAGAAAAAAAAAATACCTTCAGGTTCTTCAGGTTTGTGTGTCGTCTCATGGGTTGATGTTTGCTCGACTGTAATTTTAAACAGGAAGGTGAAAATTTTAATTCAAGTAGTTAGTTTTCAAAACTTACCTGTGGGAGGTTTTCCTGCATTCTCGGTAGTTTGACTTTCCATTTTTATAAACTGACCTAGGGTCAAATAAGAAACAATATTAAATTAAAATAATATGAAATTATTGTACGATTTGTCGGTACCAAGGTCACCATGGTGAATATTTGAGCTACTTGGTGCTGGGATACTTGAATCACCTACAGCCTCACCCAACGGGACAGAACCTGTAAGAAAATAAACCTTGATCACTGCCTTTTAAAACTTATTCTTTGAAATTCGTTGAATTTTTCAAAGTGAATATCAAGAATGCTCTTCCAACTCAAGACTGGCCTTTTAACGATTTCCACATTTTCAAATCATGAAAAAATCATGTTAAGAGGAAAATAAAAATAAATGATTTATAATAAGCTATAAATAATGTATTAATTATGTAGTATTGAGTATGTAGATGGCAATGCTCAGCTGTTTAAAAGTTAGAGAATACAATCATAAAAAGATAATTATTTACTGCTTAAAAAAATATGAAGAAAATATTAAGAACTATTTTATTACCTTGCAAGTAATTTATACATGTCTCAATTCCAACACATATCTTTTCTTCAACGCTGTTCTGCGTACTTCCTACTACGATCTCCAAGGGTTCACCTTTATGTCCGATGAAAAAGACGGAAGGTACTGGCACTAGTTTATCTAAAAAACCAATATTTATGAGTATAGGTCGAATACATATGAGGCCAGATTTAAAAGTTTATTTACTCACAGATATCAGTGAACTGTTTATGACTTGGAGAGCCCTTTTCTAATCGTATGCATACAAATTTTGAGGGGTCTAATTTTTTAGCAACTTCACCCCCGTTCAATATCTGGCTCATTGATGTTGAAGCTTCATCGGTCCCTAATGACATAATTGAAGTTTAACGATTCAACTTGCTTTTATAGAGAAATTAAATGTTGTTCTTTAAAAACAATTATTTTATCTAATAAAAATAACTTCTAGCATTTTTGTTCTTCACAATTTGAACTTGTTATTTGTAACTGATTGGCATCAACGTATATATATAAAAAAACTCTGCTCTCTCTGCTAAGCATTTGCTGTCTCACTTCCCATTAAAACAGTTTTTAAATCAATTTTTGTTTTCTATTTAATAGATAACGTTGAAATGTAAAATTTTAATTTTATACAAGAGAACTTAACTACCCATTGGATGACTACAATACTTTCTCCATATTATTCACAATTAAATATTCCGTGAGGACTGCTAACATGGCAAGTACTAGTTCCATCCCCATATGAGTCAGACCTGCTAACCACTCGGCCACCATGGCAAATCCACCAGATAATAGATGTTGCTAAATAGGATTAGCATTCCATCCCGGATAAATACACTCTATTTAATTTTTTTTCCCTACTGTAAGTCATTCTATATTGTGATGCTGTTTTAATAGATATCTCTTGGCCACTGTCGTTTCAGTCTTTTTGGGTGATTTAAGGGATTTCTGGTTGAAGAGATGAACTAATACAAAGTAATGGAATAAATTAAGCTAAAGTTTAGTCATAATGCATGGAGAAAGATTGCTTGTGCACACAAAAAAAAAAAAAAAAAATCTAATGGATATAAAATTGCATATGTTATGAATTGGTTATTTGCTCTTTTCCTATCATTTGAGACCATCAATCACATTTAGGCTTCTTGGAACTTCAGGATGGTGGATTTGTGTTTTATTTTGACTTAGGCAAGTTTTTCCTTCTTTTTTAAGATTTTTTGTTCAGCTTCATGATGGACTTGTATTTTCCTAATTTTCATAATTCATTCCATTTCCAATGAATCCATTTCGCTTAATTCATTTTACTGTTATATACGATATCTGGCAAAGCAAAACAACAAGGAAATGGGTCTTTTAACTTCAAAGAAATTTTGACCGTTACCAATTGTTTTCGTCTATCAATGACTGTGTTGGTCAGCATTATGACGGGCATTGGCATGATCAAATTATAGGGCCTTCACCATGCAGACTGTATAGAGAAATCTGAAATGTAACATTTGTGCAGTGGAAAATCTAGTATAATAAGACAGCAATCAAGTCAAGATAGAGTGATCAAAATGACAACTAAATTTCAGTATCATCACCCTGCAGACAACATCGAGAAATGGCCACATAATTGGCAGCCTGAAGCCTTTCAATAAAATATCAGGACTGTTTTGTGATTTTAACATTCATTGTCCCAATAAAACTTCATTATACATATTTACATCCCCTTTATATAAGCACGATCTTTCATAATTAAATAGCACCGACCAATCATTGCAATATGTAAAAAAAAACACTTAAGATTGTTAATATGAGTGCCCTTTTTTAAAGTAATATACCTACCATTTACTGTAATGATAAGGATAGGAAGACCAGAATTGATTGGTTATGTCCAAAATACTAATAAAAAATTATCTAATTATCAAAACACACCTATGATTTCTCATGGCCTACCAGTGATTCCAGTTTTTGTGTAATTTAGAATAACAATCCAACCAAGAATAACCCACCCACCATGCAGCAATGCTTCTCCCAATTATCTTGAAATTGTGAAAAACCTGCTGCCAGAACAATAGCATGATTACAGTAGACTGGCAACTCTACATTTTTATTACCAGACAGTCATTTATAGATCCTACAAGTTTACTGCACACTCAGTCTAGTCTGCATGGCATTCCATCATGAGGGACACTGGCAATGTTAAAAACATTCATGCCGCCTGTCAAAATTTCTTTGGCTTAGATTTATATATGTGCGGATCAGGAAAGCAAACACCCCCAGACCTTCCTCGGGTCTGGAAGATTGCTACAATCCAAATACTTAACTGATAACTGTGGGGGTGTCAGTGGCTGCAACCGTTTTGGCATTTAAAACACCGACATCCCGAGGGTTCATATAACCTTGTAATTGAAATAGCTTCATTACATTTTTTTTTTTAAATCATAGCTGTCTAACTATTACTGTGTTTTATATATCGAAATACATTAACATATTTTGAAGGTGTCAATAAATGTAGTGAACCAACAACATAATTGTGAGATTATACTAGAGTTTCTTACGAGTCTCTTTCTGCAGTATAAACCCTCACTTTTACTTGTACGGTTAATTCACATTGACATAGTAACTTCATTATTTTTTCCTTCTTATTCCTGTTTAAACTGGAGAAAATCTATTTTAAAATGGTATTACCGAATGCTAAGATCCATGGGAAAATTTTAGAGATATCGAGTTTTGAAAATGGGAGCTTATACTGAAAAACACGTAAACTGAGTTCCTCACTGAAGATGGCAGAATTATTGCACACAACAAACGCATTCAAGTTGTTCAACAAGCGAGTGAAGTAACCCAATGCCGGTTCAGAATGAAAAATGTAAATGCCAGAATTGTGAATAAAAAACAAATTAGAATACCCTGAGTATAAAACAAGGGGATTTAGGCATAAGCCTAAAAATGAGAGCCTGACTTCAAATTGGACTACAGGGTATAACAACAATGTATTAACAAAGATATAATGAAATTGTTTTTTGTAATTGACAGAACCTAGCAAACACTGTTATTAAAATTAAAATCAACATGTCTCCTCAAATATTTACATAATGGCAGTTAGTCTTTCCATAAGTAAAACGCAGAAAATAAATTGTCAGGGTAAAGAGTTATTTATTTTGAAAAGGACTGGGGGAAAAGACAGTACCTAAACATTAAATCCAATCGACTGGGTTACTCGGAGGAAGTTGAGCAGAATTGACATACGATCCCGTGTACACTTCAAGGTAGATTTACTGCCAAATAGCACATCTGGCTATTTAACTCATTTAACAGACTGCTCAAATTCGATTGAAAACTAATAAATAATTCACAAGTCACCTTCAACATAAACGACGAAAATGGCCTTCTTCCTTTTTGAAGAGGAGACAGCTTCTGCGATCGTTCCCTCGAACCAGTTCATGTCTGTCGAAATCTAGCTACTAACGCGTTTCCTTAAATTTCCTGGTTTATTTTGTAATTTGATCAAAATGAAAAACGGCCTGTGGAGATCAGAGAAAAACAAGGCTTGTCATGTGTGTACTGACAAGGGACGAGGGGATCATAATATCATATGATCACGGTATGACGGAGTCGTCTGCACGGCCTCTTTCGTTCACGTTGACCACCTCGGACTAGAAAAACAACCCTGGGACAGGAATTTTTCCCATTAAATATTTTCAAAAAACTACCAGTTGCGAAAGTATTTCTTTTTTTCACGTACGAGTAAAGAGAATTTTCCAAGTTTTCCTTATGGGAAAATGGCGGGAATGCTCTGCTACAAAATAGTCCTAATGACTAGAAACGTTTCATCACTGTTCTAAGCAATTAAAATCAGGAAAGAAAAGTAACTGGAAACTACTACAGCAAGGCCGGGGCCGTCTGACAGTCAAATTTGACAATTTCTTCCAACATTGTCCACTGTCAGTCAGTTGTTTTTGAACTAAAAAGATTTCCATCAACATACTGGTACGTTTTGCACATGTATTAACAAACTATCTTTATTTTTTCCCCCACACTGATATACAGTTACAAAGGAAAAAAAATTATCTATAACCTTAATATTAATATTTTATGTATGAATATTTATCATTAATTTGTTAAAGTCGTTAGTGTTGTCAGCAAAACCAATATGACACCACAAGAATAGCACCTCATTTTATGCGCTGAAGATGACCCGAATAAGTCGAAACGCCGACAAAAAAAGAGTTTTTCTAACCTCATTCTTGACCGCTACTCACGACTTCAACAAATTATGAATCAGCAGGTCACTAACAAATACACATTGTTATCGTTAATATTTTTATTAATTGAAATTGAAAGGAATTTTTGAGGCTGTTGGAAAGGAAAAATTGAAATAAAAGAAAATACAAATGGCGGGGTAATAAACTACATACAATGCCCAAAATTGCAATTTAAATCACAAGATAGCTCTCTCCAAAAAAAGTTTTTGTTTTATTATTCTTGTTAAGAAGCATTAGCGTATTTATAGTATTTGAATGGAAGAATAAAAGAATAAATTAAGGACAAAAATTAATTAATTTTCAGTCAGTTGTATTTGAAGTCAAAAGATTTTCATTCTCATACTAGCACATTATGCACATATATTAACAATCTACTTCTACTCCACTATATCTCGCCTTAGGACAGGGCACGGTATATGTGGAGCATATTTGTATAAAATAAATTTAAGACCCACCCGAAATTGTGCTACATGCGATGAGGTCAAGGATCTCAAACACATAATTTTGATTTGTAATGAGCACGAAGTTCAGAATATTGCTGGTGTAAAAGTGTTGAATGGTCTTTCAATTTGGACACTTTAATTGGTACTAATGATATAGATATATATACTCATATATTTGATTTTCTGGTGTCATGTGACATTGAAGTTTAAATTAGAGGATTAGGCTTGGTTGGGTGTGGCGGTGATGGTCGGGGAGCGGGTGGGGGTCATTGTCGGGGCACTTGATTTTTATAAAGCTCTTTTGTCCTCGCTGGGTTGGCTTGGGTGCCTTTGGCCCTCCTCCTGTTCCCTTTGGTCGTCTCCGCCTCATCGGGGCTTCATATAGTTATTTCTTTAGCCAATGCATAAAGTAAGGTCAGAAAAAAATCTACTTTTATCCCCCCCAATCTGATGTACATTTACAAAAGGAAAAAAAACAATTATTTATTTCCTCAATATTAATATTTTATGTATGGATATTTATCATTAATATTTTTATTTATTGAAATTGACCTTTTATTTATTTATTTTAAAAGTACAAATAGGGCTTTATGCCCCCTTACAAGTTACAACATATTAGAAATAAGTTGTTTTATAAACATAATAAAATTATAACAGCAATAATAATAATAAAATTGAGAGAAAAGAACTTGTGATTCTCACTAGATTGCGAATAGGTCACATCAGGCTAATTCATAATAGGCAGCACCAACTTGTCCTCGATGTATTCAAAATGGAGGACGTATAATTCTGACTGTAAAACATATTTTGGTCAACTGTCGCACTTTGCAACCCTTTAGGCAAACGTTCAACCGTTCGAGTGATTTAAAGAAGTTACTAGGTCCCAAGTGTTTGTTTTCAGCTTTCTTAAATTTATTGGAATTTATAATGAGATTTAAGTCTTTTCCCAAATTCTTATACCTTTGAATGTTTGTCTGCTAGTGTTTGAATGGGAGTTCTTCGTGCAAGTTTTTTTTTCAGAAATTTTTGAGGCTGCTGGAGCAGAAAAATGAAATAAAAGAAAATACAAATTGCGGGGTAATAAACTACAATGCCCAAAATCGCAATTTAACTACGGAAAGATAGCTAGCTCCCTCCCAAAAAAAGTGTTTTGTTTTATTAATTTTGTTAAGTAGAATTAGTGTATTTATAGTATTTGAATGGAAGAATAAAAGGATAACGATGAGCCTATACTTATGAGACTGTTGCTAGTCTGATTCCATTATTATTATGTGCCTATGGGAATTGTTTAAATTGTGGAACAAAAATTCGAAATTCTTATTAAAGAACAGGAATAAATCTTATAATTTAAAATGTTTTTTTTTTTGCATACATTTGCCCTTCCAAAATAACTTCTTTAAAAGGATAAATTAAAGCTTTGGATGGCAATAGGATAGATTAGTTTATGAGTAAATGTTTGGAGTCAGAGCTTCATGACACTAACATATAGCTAACCTAAGATAGAAGGTTTAAGTGTTAGGGCATGAAATGACCTTAGCTGTTAAACCGCCCTTAGCCATTAAACCTCCCTTAAAAATTCATAATAATAATAAAAATAATAAATTAATTAATTAATAATAAGTTTATGGGGCATTTTTCTAAGGGAATTTAAAAAAAATATACATCATCTTCACTGTGACAATATATTCTTGGTTCTACAATATCGACTTTTTGTTTATTATTGATATAATCATTTTTATTGAGGTATGTCTTCAATGTTAATTTCAAATTTTCCTCTTGATCTCATTGGTCTTTCCTTTGATGTATTCTACAAATTAAAAATTGCTTTTATTTTCTTCCAGGCGTTCTGCATCTTATCATTTGTCTCTGATTCTTAAACCTCCTACTATTTGTCTGAACACTTTATTTTTACCCTGTTTAATTGTCTGGTTTTCTAAAATTAATTTAATTAACTTATTGCATAGTAACCTATGGTCAAGGTTTTGTTAGGAAATTCAACGACCATCTGGTAAGCCTTAATCCTTTAAATAGTGCAGAATAAAACAACGATGGTTTCAGGTGGGCAATATGTTGATGTCAATCTGGAAGTTTATTTTTAAATCATTAATTTGCTGAAAACTAAATTAGATTTATATTATGTTATTTTAACGTGTATAATATTAAGTTAGGTTTTAATAAATTGGGTACAGTGTGAAGGTGCAAGTGGCTGAAGGCTTAGTTGCATATAGCATTTTGATATTGTGCATTTACTCTTTTCTTTTGTGTTTTCTGATTATTTTGTACTCTTCACAGACTCAAGGAATGAAGCCCAGCACATTCTTAATAGACTGTGGATTATTGCTTGATAAATAAACTAAGTGTTAATATATCTAGATTAGTTTAAATTAGATTATGTAGGAGCCAGCCTCTTTACAACCTGCGCACCACAACCAGTATTGGTCTATTGTGAATCTCCATTCTTTTTGTCTAGAGCTCCTCATTAAGCTTAAGGCTTTTTATCCGCCCCCAAAGCTTTTTCAAAGGCTTGTGTGGGGGTGTCTTCAGGCCCTGATTTTCCTCTCCCAGGACTAGGAATCTCAGTGTACATATGGCTTTCGCACCAACAGAGGACATGTTCTGCTGTTTCTTCTTCTTCTTGGCAATATCTGTACAGGCTTTTTTCTACCACTCCTAGGCTATTCATATGCCTCCAGAGTCTGCAGTGTCCAGTCAGCAGTCCAACTATTCTAGTCCTAGTATGTCCTAGATTTAGTAGCCCTTCTGTTAGTTTCTCCGAAGATCCTTTGATAAACTTTTTTGCTTTTTTTGCCTGGGCTATCTATTGAACGGAAGACTTATTTTTAATCACACAAAAGGGTTCAAGGCCTATAGGTGACCTATTCGAACTTTCCTTGGCCAATTCCAGGCCAATCAGCCTCTTTGTTGCCCCCTGCCTTGTGTGCCCTGGTACTCAGACAAGGGGAATTTTGTTATTTTCCCCAATGTTTGACAGGACTCTAATACAGTCCCAAACTACTCTGGACTTAACCACCAATGCGATAACTGCCTTCAGTGCCGCCTGGCTGCCCAAATAGCGTTAATGTGTCTAAAACCAAAGTATTAGTCCTCAGAAATTCACCCGTGAAAAAAGTTAAGAAATTGGTATATTAACCAGAACTGGTCAAACCTATAAAAAAGTATAAATACTTGGGTATTCCCTTCAGCTACACAGGGAAATTTCATCTAGCTGTGGATAATGCCATTAAATTCCTAGCTTTGGGGAAAGTGAGGGAAATTTTAATTAAAAGTAAATCAAACTTGCTTATAATGAAGATTAAATTGTTTGAATCCATAGTCACTGCTCCATCAATGCATGGCTCCGAGTTGTAGGGAAACAGCAATTTGCATTATTTAAATAAGCTGTGTTATTTTTTTGTTTAATTTCCACCTTTCCAAAGTACTCCACACCACTACATTACAATAGAGTTGTTTTAGAGGCAGTGAGGGTTCAAATTTACGTTTTGAATTTTAACATCAACTAGACAAGTAATTATATCAAATTAAAAAACCTAATTTGCAAAAGAATAGGAAATCAAAATTTCATTTATAGATAAATAATAGTGCATGAAACTAAAACAAATATAAGCAATATTTAAAGAAGATGCAAGTACAGTAGTTTTTCAAATTGGTAAACATAATTGCAATCTAACAACATATGTACTGTGTTGTTTGAGTATCTAAGAAATGTTTCTCACACCTTAGTCTTCTTGGATTCTGTATCTTCTATAAATTGAGAATGCATAGATTTTCCAAAACCTCTGTCAAGTAATCTTTTAAAATGGTGGACGATTTGATGTTAGTGATGGTTATATTATATTATCACTTATATTTCTTTTTTCACATGTTATTGTAAATTTCTGATCAGTATATGTAATTGAGAATTCTACCCCTCAGATAGCCTATCGACCATGAGTAAATCTTATCTTGTGTAGTGGTTTGTTTGATTGAAACAATAAAAATAGTATTATGATTATTATTGCAAGTTGATATTTTGTAATATATCTATCCTTTTTCTCTATTATTGTGGAATTGTGCCAAGTTTTCCTTTTTTAAAAATTAACTACAAGTTTTGGGTTAAAAACCAAGTGCAAAATATGTATATGGTTTAATTTTCATCTACAAATTATTTTATTTTTTTGACATAGATCATTATTTTACAGATTTTATAATGGAAAAAATATCTTAAAATCACATATTCTTTGGCTCTTATTTGAAATTGCAATTTTTTTAAGTTCAAAAGTGGTTACAATGTTAATTCCATGGCTTTGACTAATTAGATACTTATATGAAAAGGTTAAGAGGTGTGTGAGAAATAAAGAAATATTACATTTTTATTTGACAATATATACATACAAAATGTGAATAAGAATTTATTTCTTAAAACTATGCAATATATCACACTTATACGCAATGTGCAAAGTATGGAATACTTTTTATACAATGCAAGATTTAATTTGGTGTATAACGTTTACACGTTTGAACTAACATTTATTAGAAGATAATAAAAAAAGAATAAATAAAATGTATTACTGTTGCTTAAAACTGTATCGTTCAACTGTAGAAATGCATTCTTCGACTACTCACAGCCTTTCAAACTTAGCATACTATATATTCCCATCTTTTGGCATCGTTATGAGGTAAATGGGCTTGACTAGAAATGCATATAAAATCGAGTGAAACATTTATGCTGAGACAATACAAAATAACAGGCACTTTGAATTATTTGTCTGCAGCTGGATTGTTCCCTATCGTACTTATATGTGTATATACAAACTACTCTATATACTAACTAGTACCTCAATAAGGTTGGTTATAGCCAAATTCCTGCAGAGAATATAGTTAAAATAAAATAAAACTTCTATAAAATATAGATAAGTTCATTTTGTCTTAAATTATATTTACAATATTTTCAAAAAATCGTCTGTGGTGGCAACATGCATATGTTTTAATATAATATAGCTTAAAAAGGCCAATTTAAATTTTACAACAAGATACAATTACAAAAAACTATATCAACATCTTTGTTTATATTAACAATATGACTGGACTTATCTAACCACGTATACACATCCAATGTTTCAATGTATTTTGAGTAAACTTATTGCAGCAGAAATCAAAATAAGTACAGAATTAATTTGTATTATTGCTGAACGGCTAACATAACAGCCAGATTGCTCATAACTGATTAGCTTCATGTTGGCACCTGTAAACTCATCCAGGCAAGTCAACTCCAACATGTTTTCATATATGCTCCTGCTATATCTGACATTTTTGGTATGAACGAGCAGCGTTTCACGAATGTACCTTCTCAGCCACTGCCCCATCCATGAAGCCTCACATCCACACATGAGATAATTATGCTGCACATGAATGCCACCTGAAATCACATAAAATGAAAAGTTTACTAGTTTTAGTTTGTTTTTCACGTTTTTCTTGTTTTCAATTGTACCTGAGTAAGCTTGTGTCCCGAGGTATTGTAAAGAAGCAGGCGTTTTATAGAAGCTTTCGGGTCCCATCATTCTGATGTTATTGCCTCTTAAGTCAATGGTGGCTTTCATATTTATGAATTTAGTGAAGAACATCGGTGGGAAAGTAGTTATGTTTGTTCCAGTAAATCTAATCAGCATCTCCTTGATAGGGTGCAACCCTTTAAGAGCATCACCATTTATCTCAGTCAAGTTCTCACCCGTCACTTCAAGTACTTTCAACTTGGGCGGGAGCGTGCCAACAAGCTGGTCTGTCAGTTTGTCTTCAACGATCTTGACATGGAGTTTTTTGAGGTGAGGAACATTGGAAAGTATGCTCGGGAGCCTGAAGCGATACTTTTCTATGTTCGGCCATGACTGGATTTTCAAGGACACCAAAAGTTTGCAAGTGGACAAAGTGTCTGCATCGAATCGTTTTAGTCTGTGTAGATTTTGTACATTCAGCACTTTTAAATTGCGAAGCCCAAAAAAGCTATCACTTGTCAATACCTAGGAAGATTGATAAATTATATGGTGAATTTCTGTTGAATATGTTTAGTTTTTTAATTACCTCAATGGGATTTGATGAAAGGTCAAGTTCATTTAAATTTTCAGCCTCATTCCATCTTGGATTGATTAAAGTGGTGATATTATTGTGGCTGAGATCTAATTTTCTCAAATTTGGAATACCAAAAAGGAAGCCAGGGTTTAACTCAGTTATTACATTGTTAGATAAATTCAAAGAAACTAGATTTACTTGTTCCAAAAATGGGATTTTCTTTAAAGAACTATCTGCAAAGTCTAAATTGCGTAAACTGTTAAAGTGTTGGAAATACTCCAGACCTGCCAGCCTATTAGAACACAGTCGGAGGGTTAGCAAAAAGTTCAAATTACGAAACATTTCCATCCGTACGTGGGTGAAAGAATTAGAACACAAATTAAGCTCAGTCAACATAGGCACATTTGTAAATTGGTCCACTTCCATATTCTGAATTTTATTATTTGCAATATCCAAAATTCCTAACGTGTGACTGATTGGTACGAGAGCCTGGGATGGCACAGAAACCAATTGGTTGCCTTTCAATATCAGCCTTTCCAATTTGGTGCTTTTGAAAACTTCACCAGGCAATGCACTGAAATAATTATTTGACAGGTCTAACACTCTGAGTTCGTTTAACTTTGAAAACTGATCTGCAAGTATGGTGGAAATATGATTGTGTGATAAATCTAATATCTGAAGTTTACTAAGTTGCTCAAATTTAGATCCCCTTATGTCATCAATCATGTTATGCTCCAGATTTAATATTTCAAGGTTTGAAAGAGACAGAAATGGATTGTTGTGTAAAGTTTTAATGTAATTGTATCCAAGGTCAATTATTTTAAGAGAACTGTTAATGGCCCTCAAAGATTCGAATGGTACAGCTCTAAAGTTATTATGACTGAGGTCAATTTTTTCAATGTGAATCGCACTGGCGATAAATTGAGGATGCCAATTTTGATCTGAAGATGATACAATTTCAAAAGGAGTGTTTTCAATACGATTATGTGATAAATTAAGAGTCATAGGATGAACATAACTTGTGACATTATCAAACATCTGCCAATTTATATCTTTTAAATCATTGCTATGAAGGTCTAATTCTGCCAAATTTGGAAGGTTCATAAATGTTCTGTTACCAATATTTATTAACTTATTATAAGATAATATTATTATAAGTTTGGAGGGCAAATTTTTGAAAGCTTCAGCACTAATTGTGGTAATTTGATTGTGGCTCAACGCAATATATTTTAATGACTTCAACCCTGAAAATGTGTGAATATCAATGTATGTGATTTTATTAAATGAAAATCTAACATCCATAAGATTGATGTGAAAATTGCTTTTGAAAAAATCAGAAGGGATGTGATTGAGTTCGTTAAAGTCTGCATTAAACGTTGTCAGTAAGCGCAAATGGTCAATCCCTTTTTCAGGCAATTTGCTCAGCCTATTGTTGTCAAGATAAATGTCCCTGAGATTGGAAAGAGTTTTAATAGTTTTCCCTTGAAATGTAATATTTCTCAAACTATACCCTAAATCTAACATTTGAAGGTTGTTTAAATTAGCGAAAGCTTTATCATTCAAAGTAGTGATTGTGTTGAAAGGAAGTTTCAATGTCAACAGTCGAGGTAAACTTTTAAAAACATTGTTCTCTAGTTGTGAAAATCTATTGCTACTCAATGAAAGAGACTGCAATCTGTCCCCCCAATGGGAAAAGTCTGAGCTTGAAATGCTCGAAATTTTATTGTATGCGCATGACAAAGTGGTCAATTTTTTTAAATTTCTCAAAGCGTATTTTGGAATGGAATGAAAACTATTGTGGGACAAAGAAAGATAGTTGAGCGAATTAGAAGAATTCCTAAGCACACGATCTGGCATAGAAGAAATATAGTTTCTTTTCAGAGATAGATACTTCAGCTTTTTCATTCGTGTTAAGGCTTTGGGAAATTTCGTCAGGATGTTATGAGTTAGATCTAAAGATTCGAGAGTGTATGAAAGTCCATAAAATGCTTTTTCAGATAAAGAAGTGATTTTGTTGTGAGACAAATTGATTTTAGAACAAGAAAGCCCATTAAACGGTTTTGAAGGTATTGAGCCAATCTGGTTGTAACTCAAGTCCAAATCATCAATTCTGATCGTTCTACCAAACACTTCAGTAACAGAAGTCAAAAGATTATTAGACAAATCAAGATACATTAACGGTTGTCTGCTTTTAAAGGAATAAATAGGTAAATATCTAATGTAATTGTCTTTTAAGTTCAATTTCTGCAATTGCTTCAGATTATCAACAAGATCAGATGGAAAGTTGTCTATGAGATTGTGTTCAACGCTCAAAGATTTTAAAGAGAAAGGCAGCGAATTTTCTTCCAAAGATGTTAGGAAATTATTGTCGATATTTAAGGAAATCATTTGTCGGAAATTGGAAAGAGTAAAGTTGAAGTTTAATTGCAGGAAGCTTAACTCGTTCTTTCCTAAAAACAAAGACTGAAGGGTATTCTTCAAATTCCCCCAGTTGGCTTTTAATGATGCTATTGAATTGCTGAAACACCAAAATTTTGTATGCAAAACATCAACAATTTGTATGCATTTGAAAAAATATAACTGATTATTACATACCTTTCCAAACTAAGAATTTTCAAATTTAAAAGACCGTTAATCATTTCCTCAGGGATCGTATGTAATGAGTTATAACTGAAATCTAACGCCTGAAGTGTCTCATTTGATGGGCTGAAAGAATAAAGCCATGCAACATCCGACACAATCAAAATAAAAATGTTTTTCTTACAATAAGGCTTTTGGAGAGAGCATCATTAAATTGTTATTAGCAAAACTAAGTGATTTTAGTTTCATATTTCCAAGAGAATAGTCTTCGAGAATCTCCAATCCACATCCTACAATACTTAATTTGGTCACGTTATAGTGTGGAATGTCTGAAAAAGTAAATTTTGTTTTACACAACTGACAAAATTCCCATTAAAAATAAAAAAATTACCTGGTAGTTTTGTAAATGGTACATCATTGCAGGATATTTCATTGAAAGATTTTAGCGACTTGTAGTGGGGTATGCCCTCGATATTTGCATACAAAGTACATTTGCACAGGCTATTGAATGGGCAAGCTGTAGAGAGGTTTGCGGTCAGTGCCTGGCATGAAAACGATGACAGGATCTGTAATCAGATTTAATTTTTATTAGAATTTTCATATTATTCTTACCGTGAGTTGTGTTGTACATTGACCTGTGACTTATGATCATAACCAAGCTGCACTTCTTTACCTCACTATGATTCTTTCTAAACTTATTTGCGATTTACAACTACAGAGTTATATCTGTGTATGAGGTAGTAATCGACAAGAAGATTTTACCCAAAATTAAATACTCAGACTAAGAATAATTCTTAAAGAATCTTAAAGGATACTGTGAGATTTATTCTAAGGATCTGTGGGATGTTGAACCTTGAGTTCAATTGGTCAGGGTTATAAGTAGGGCGAGGTACTGACACAAACCCAACAGTTAAGATGGCACAATGCCAAAAAGCCTCTGACTAGACTTTAGGTTCATTTGGGTTTATGTTTATCAAGAAATTTTTACCCCTTTCACATTTCTCATATAAACAGGGTGGCACTGACACAAACCCAACAGTTAAGATGGGGCACAGTCGAAATGCAACTGACTTGTCTTCAGGTTCATGTTTGTTTAAAAGCTTATCAAGAAATTTTTTCCTCTTTCACATTTGCTCATAAAAGACTCGGACAGGGATATAAGCAACGTGAGGCACCCACCAAAACCACCATACTGAACATTGTGTAATGTTGAAATGCATCTGACAGACAAAACCATGAGGATAAACAGACGAAAATCATCTCAAAGAATAGCTAATTATCTGTATAACGTAAAGAGTGTGTAATAAATACATGCTTTTATCATAAAAACTTTATTATGATTTTCATTTTTTTAAAGCATGGCCAAATTCGTATTATTTATTTGGAAAAATAACTGTTTTAATTCTGGATTGTCGATTTGCATGCTGAAATTTATGTGTTTTGAGACGTATTTAATATGTAGTGTAACTATTTGTGGGTTTGACAGTTTTGCAATCATCCTTTCTCTAAATCAGGCTAAAAAATCGGATTTTGCGATCTTGAAGCTGGTCCATTGACGAAAACGATTGGAATCAATTCGGAAGTCCCCTGATTGCGCATATGTCATACCTGGTTGACCCAGGGTAATCGCGATGAAAATAGATTTCAAAAGGAGGGTCAACCTTATTTGCGAAATGGATATTTGCCGCGTTTACGAAATGTAACCAAATAACGTCAAAGACCCAATTGTTACAAGTATTGTAAAGGCACAAAGCATTTTCAGGAAGTACGTGGATTTGCTTTACAATCGTCGCTGGCATTTCCCCTGTTTTAAGCCCTCACCGGTTGCCCCGGAAAAATTCATTCTATTATTTTATTTCTTAGCATATAAATTTAGTTTACAACTTGAACAGAATTTTATCTTCCAGCGGTGGTTGTGCTGTGAAAAACACGAGAAAAACGTTAATTTGCCCTTGCTGTACGTCAAAAACAATAAGTCCTCTTGTAATGGACTTTCGGCTTTTGGTATAAACCTATCATGGAAGAGATCGAAAAGCCAGAACGCGTCTGACAAAATCAAGACGTTCCGTTGTTCATACTATGAGTTTATTTTATAAATTTTATTTTTTCGAAGTAAACATTCTTCTTACATTCTTAACTGCAGTACAGTTGAGGATAATAGTAGTAACAAGTGAATAACAATGCAAGAAGAATCCTTCTCGCATTGCTGATTTATTCTTGATTTTTTTTAAACTAGACAGAGTAATGAAGAATAATGAATAAATTGGCAACGAGATTCGAAGCAAGTACAGACGATAAGAAATCTTTTATGTAAATTGCACTTTTCGTGATGGTGTATTCAGATAAGTCCTTAAGTAGTTGATTTTGATGAGTTACCGTGGCAACGTGATGTTTTGAAGTTTACTTTTGCGACTCAGAGTATGTCGAGGTCAGATGAAAAGTTTGAACCATGCACTTGGAAAAAAATATTTTGGGTGGTTCATGTGTTAGTACTAGTGACCTAAGTCTTCCAGTCATAAATTCAAATAGACTAAATGACAAAAAAGGTCAATGGGTCGTTAGATTTCTAAGGGCGGTGATGGTCTTATGAGTCATAATAAATATAAGTTCGTCTGATTGTGCGTTGTTTTGGGATATCATGACCAATGCGCACGTTCCATGCAAGTTTGCCTTCTTTAAGTTATTTTATAATTTTAAATAAGTATTTTTCGTGTTCGATTAATTAAAACGGAAAATCATTAGCAGAGAGCATTAAAATTATGCGCAGGAAGTGGCAGATATTGATTTTTTGCGTGTAATTGACTCTAGTTTCGTCCAAGCTTTTAAGAGGATTGGCACTTGCTCATTTCTGTTGCATGTTTTACGTAACTGAATATTTCAAATTAAAGGACTTATAGAGGAGGGGTTGCTACGGAACGGATTTAGCACGGGGAATTTTGGCACGCGCCCCCGTCCTTTATCCCCGGTTACCTTCGTAATCCTGATCGCCTTTTTAATTTTTCCTCTACCTTTGTATGAATTTATTATGTAAAGTTTATGACTGCAATAGTTTTGTGGAGACATGGGGGTCCAACACGGATTTCGCTTTCCTCTTTTTGGCTAATACGTTTCAAAAATAAAGCTAGCATAGGTAGACCATAATACTACTCAAAACAACATCAATCAATTAAATAATTAATCAATAACTATTATAAAACTAGAGAAAATTTTTGCTTTTATTATTGCTTAATAAACATGCATACTTTTACACTACTAACTCAAGTAAAGCGTTAAATTAATGCACCCGGAACTTAATTTGGTACACTGGCTATATTGCAGAGCTCGTGCACGAGTCAGTCAACCGAACTTCTCCTACAGGACTTGTTCTCTAGATCAAAGATTAACAAACATTACAGAGTTTAATTTACAGCCCTAATGGTGGTTACTGGCAACACGCCTTGATTGAATTTTGACTTTGAATGTTAAAGTTTACGGCAATGACGTCATTTAGATGTGGTTAGAAAGCTGTGGATTGCCTAGGAAATCGCAAGAACGCCAAGTTAAGAATAAACCACAACCTTTTATTTAGGGATATCCAAATAAATGGAGGCAAGAAGTTATCCCATCTGCCAAGATATTTATCGCTCTATGGGAGCAGGGTTTCAGCAACATGCCGTGGAAAGGGAAAAGGTTCGAAAGTAAAAATGAGAGTTGTTGAAAAACCAGAGATTTTCTGATAATAATTTAATTAGTCAAATTTTCTCAAAAATAGTCGAAAAGAAATGTAAGAAGGACTGAGAATAAATAACGAAAAAGTAACGTACTTACTGAAAGGGATAAGGATAAACGAGAAGGAAATTGATAAAGTCGAAGGCAGAATGAAGATGAAAAGAAAAGAATTGCGATGATTTTGAGGCCATTTAATAAGTACAATATATATGGTACAGAAAAAAGATAGAATATTGTGTATTGCCAGTATAATAAGGTAGGGACCAATCCAAGTGGGAAAACGCGGCGGAATTTTACTTAATTACATCAACAATTGTGTATTCCTTACTACTCATTCTCCCTTACTTTCAAAATATTCGAACATCATCCTCTTCCGCAACCTGGCAAACCCGTTCAAAATTCCTTATCATATCGCCCCGTTAGCCTACTTCCCATCATGCCCAAAGTTTTTGAATAAATTCTCCTTAAAAGACTTGCTAAAATTGAACTACACTAATCTTTTCCCAGATCATCAGTTTGGCTTTCACCCCCATCATGCCACAACCAGCAATTGTTTCGCGTTGTCGACCGTATATCCTCTTTCCTTGAGCGCAGAGAATATTGTATGGGATCCTTTCTTGATGTGACACAAGAATTTGACCGTGTATGGCACAAAGGTCTCCTGTACAAATTAAAGTGCCCTTTCAAATACCGTCTACTTAATCCATAGCTCTTATCTAACAGAGCGGTTCTTTGGAGTTCGACAAGGATCATATTACTCCTAATACTACTTTCCTGTCGCGGGAGTACCACAGGGTAGTGTGCTCGGACCATCTATATCCTTTGTACTGTAGAAATCTACCACACTTCTTGCACCTTTTGCCTATATTGCAGCTATACACTCTAACCGAGATCCTGCAGTTGCTTCGTAAGATCTGCAGAGACATATCACATGTATAGCAGATTGGTGTAGACAATGGAAAATGAAGATAAATGAACGTGCATCATTTACACTCAGAAGTAAATCTCCTCTCACAATATACTACAACAATGTTCCTATCCCCAAATCCGACTGCTACCATGGGCTACCTAGACTCATGCTTAATGTGGAATCAGCACATACGACTGAATCATTCTAAACAGACGCTACAGTCTTCTCTACAACTTCAAAGACAGTTCAAGCTATCGACCAAAAAAAAACGTACAATTTACAAGACGCTACTATAATCGAATTGGACATACAGAATAGGATTGTGGAGAACCGCTAAACCTTCAAATATCCAACAACCTTTCAATCTAAAGTTCTCAGATCACTTATAAATTTTTAATGTCTCCAATACTACCCCCACAACTTAAAATCCCATTTATCCAAAATATAATCCCCCCAAAATTTACCAAGTTCCAAAATAATCTCTTCCATCATCCCAATAGTCTCGTCCAAGCCTTGTCCAACAGAACCCAGCCCTTCAATCCCATAAGGCGTCTCAAGAGGAAATGGCCCGGCGGCCTCCTTGCTGAGGAGTAGCCAGGAAGTTTGTTTAATGAAGTCAAACGGGAAAATGATATTGATTATTTACCCCTCTCTATTGTAATAAAAAAATTCAGATTGTAATGAAATGTTGAAAAAAAATTGTACCTAGCTGAGGAAATAATAAATATACAAAAGAAAGTTCATAAGAGATATGCCACGTTTACTCCTTGGGCTATCAAGGAAATCCAGAAAGAAGCCATTGTTGAATTATTAGGAAATAAATTGAAAATCTGCAAGCTACTTGTTGAAAACCTCATAAGGAAGTTCAAGAACTTTAAAAGAAAACGAGGAAGAGCTGCTAAAAATATGTATATGGCGAGGTTACATAGCACCAAATTGTTCAAAAAA